GGTGGTAAAACCATGTGAAAGGTATACCAGAGCAGTACAGGCTGCTGCTCTTTGAAATGTCTGAGGAGTTGGGTGTTAAGCCTCAGCCAGGTTATTAGAGCAGAGGGAACACAGGATTCAGGCACTGCAAGTCCTCTGGAGTTGTACTCTAGACCGTGGGACACGAGATGGAAAAAATTACCTCTGGGAGGTATCCAGGCTCCATCCCAGCTTGCTCTGGCTCTTTTGCCGCCCTTACCGACTGACCTCAAACAGTATTCCCGAGTGTGCAGGGAGTTAAAAGTTAGGCCAGGCTTCAGAGCTCCTTGTGCCCTGGCCCCTCCCCATTCCTAACCCTGTACAAGCACACAGATAGTTGCCCACCACCAGCCTCAAGCATCATTCCAACCCAGCTCAGAGCCAATACACATTTCTGTGCCCCTTCTCCTGACAGTACCCCTCAGCACCCAGTTATCTGGGGTCAGGAATCTGGAAGCCATTCTGAGCAGTGTTGTTCTCTCTGACCCCACCTGTTCTCTGGGCTCCTAATGAAGCAGGGAACTCAGGCTGCAGGCCAAGTCCTTGTGTCCTCATCAAAGGCAACATCTGTCCCCTCCTAGAAGATAGCCCTGGAGGGAGGAGGGGAGACAGGCACAAGGGAAAAACCCTGATCTTGCCTGGGCCCTCACCCCAGATTCCACTGCAGGCATGGATTGGGGGCGATGGCCAAGACAGCCACCAAGGCCTGCACTCACAGTGTGCCCCTGCCCAGGCCTTTGTGCCTCTGTGCCCTGCCACAGGAGAGCCCCTCCCGGGCTCACCCAGCTACCTGGGCTGCTGCTGCTGCCAAGCGGCCTTCTTTTATTCATGCGTTGTTTTATTGCTGGCAAATGCTGCTGCTTGCCGCTGTTGGAGGCGTTCCTGCCAAATCCATCCCAACATCTTGGCCTGGCATCAGGGCGGCATGCTAATGTGGAAATTTAAAGAGCCGCTCGGCTTTAAATCGGAATTTTAAATGAGCAGCAGTGCTCCAAGGGGACCCGGGCAAAATCGAACAGTATCTGATCCACTCTCCTCCTCCTCCCACACCCCCAGCATCACCCCCAAGTTCCATCTCTCCTTTTGATTTGGACACTACACAGGGGGTAGCATAAGACTCTCATCTAGAAGAGAGAGCTTCCAGGGCAGAGGGATTGGTTTAATATTGGGTCATCTAGGCCAGTAAGGAGCTAGGATCCCCCACTCAGTACCAAAAAGGGATCCACTGCTTGCTGTCATGGGCAGATGTAGGCAGGAACCTCTCCACAGGGAGCAGAGCTGGGGGTGGTAAAATTAAGGTTACTTCCTCACTCTCCATTTTACCAGGAAACAAGAAGACGGTCTGCTCAGCAGAGAATGGGAAAAGTGGAACTCCATGAAGACACTCAGGCACAATACACGCTTGTGCACTCTGGAACGTGTGCGCTTAGCTGTGTGTGCAGGTTGGGATGCTTGGTGAAGCCCCTGCAGCATGTGTGTACATAACTCACACATCACTCATGCTTGGAGAGAAATTACTCACACATGCAGGGTAGTCTTTTCATATCCAGGCCAATGTTCTTTTTTTTTTTTTTTAAGAAAGATTTTTGTTGTAGAGTGCTTGCGCTCACCAGAGAGACAGAAACAGAAAGCAAGAAATCGCCCCCTTGGGGGGATGGCCATGCCACAATCCCTTCTCCATTCTTCTCTTGGGATTTTGGGCATGCATGCACACATGCCCAGTGTGAGTTTCAAGCCGCTGGGTCAGGGACTCAGACCGCAATTGTCTATGTTGGAGTCCAGCAATGTAACTATTACACCATCTGCAGGTCCCTCCGGGCCACTGTTCTAACCCAGCACAAGCTGACTTTTGCAGGTTGCTAGCCTGAACTCTGCCCCAGGTTTTTCCATGGATTGTAATTCCCCGGCTCCTGAGTCATCTATGACAGAGCCCCACACCTCTTCTGCCAAGATGGGGGCAAGGAGCAACCAAGGTTATCCTGTGCACCTGTCTTGGCCATGGTGCGGGGCCTTCTCTGGTGACCTCCAGATGACAGGCTCAGACATTTGAGTTGAGAGAGGTGCTGGGCACATCCTTGATTTCAAAGGGAAGAGGGGGGCTCATGGGAAGTGAACAGTCACACATGTTGACCACAACTTTACCCCATATTAGGCTGCCAGGCCACGGGATGCTCCAGACCTTCTCCAGAATTCCCCCTCCCTCAAAGAAGGAGCCAGCTCCTCCAGGGCCTGTGTGGCTGCCAGCCAAGAGGCTTGGGGCAGGCCTGGGGCATGCAGCTGGCACCTGCCCACAAGATCCCTAAGGAAACCCTCCTCCCCCACTCTCATAGCCCCATTCAGATGGCCCCTGGGCTACAGGGAGACCAAACTCACTGCTGTCCATTCCCAGAGAAAACTCAAAGCTGGAAAGTCTCCCTTTCTATTCCAACGTGCTCTGAGATCCTCCTCCCAGATCAAATACACTCAGGACCCAGAAGGCAATTTTTCCAGGCAGGATCAAACAATATAGTAGGGGTTGAACAGGGGCTAGGTAAGGGACTTGATGGGGGAAATGTGGGGCGGAATTCTGGGAAAGTTGCTGAGGTTAGGAGATGAGCAACTCCATGTGAGTGAGATTGGACTGGGGGACATAACAGGGAGGGTACTAAATGAGTCTGCCTCTCATCAAATTAGCAACATGCAAATAATATGCAAATAATACCCTCTTTGTTTAGAGACCACAGGACTGGTGCTTTTTGGAAGTGGATTGCAGAGGGACCTCTAAGCATCATATCTGAGACCCTTGGACACAAGACACCCAGACTTAAGAGGCCAAAGTGTGGCCATCTGGTCCTAGTTTATTCCCTAGATAGGCTCACTTTCTGTGGGCCTCAGTTTCCCTGTGTGTGAAATGGCAAGACTGTACTGAATGGTGTCTGAGGCTTCTTTTTGGTACTGGCAGGTTGAAGGGGTTAATTCCTTCTGGGTCAAAGTTAAGCCCTTGGCTCTCCTGTCCCTGCTGCCCACTTCAGCAGTTCTGTCACGCCACGCCACCTCCCAAGCCTCCACACACCTGCCATCCCGAACTGTGAGGAGTTCCCGAAGGCAGTGTTCTCTCCCACTGCCTGCCTTTATCCACGCTGCTTCCTGTCCCAGAATGCCCTCCCTGTTTTAGCCCTTTACCTGGCTCACTCCTCCAAGCTTGATGGCCTTACCTGTCCTCCTCCTCCACTCCCTGGTTCTGGCAAGGCGCCTCCTTTCTGAGTGCCTCTGTGCACTGTTTGCCTCTCTGTTTTCCCACTAGACTATGAACTCCAGGGTCCTGCTCAAAACTGAATCTCGCGTATACGTTTATTAGTTTCCTGGTTACTGTATTAAATTACCAAACCTCAATGGTTTAAAACAACAGAAATATATGCTCTCACATTTTGTAGGTCAGAAGTTCACCATTAGTTTCACTGGGCCAAAATTAAGGCGTTGGCAGAACTATGCTTTCCCTGGAGGCCTAGGGAAGAATCTGTTTCTTGCCTTTTCCAGTGGCTGCTAGCATTCCTTTGCTTGTGACCTTGTCACTCCCAATTTCTGTCTTTGTCTTCAGTTGCCTTCTACTCTATTGCATGTGTCTTTCTTATAAAGACACCTTGTCTTTTTTTTTTAAGAATTATTTTATTTAACTTTATTTATTTATTTTAATTTGACCAGAGAGGGACACATACAGAGAGAGAGAGATAAAGTGGAACCGAGAAAGCAAACCACCAGGTCTGGGACTCAAACCACAGTCGGCCATGTAGGAGTCCAGTGCCCTTCACTGTGACGCCACCTGCCAGCCTCCTTTGTCTCTTTCTTGTAAGGACACTTGTGATAGCATTTTGGGCCCACCTAGAATAATCTTCCTGCTACAAGCTTCTTAATCACATCTGCAAAGACTCTTTTTCTACATAAGATAACTTTCCAAGATTCTGGGGATTAGGACTAAATTTATTTTTGGGAGCAATTATCAGACTACCAAAATAAGCAAAGACGTGTTTCAGTTTACCATTTATTAAGTACCAGCCAGCGCCAGACACTGCACATACATTTTTCTTCACCTCATTTAAGTCTCACGATAACCCCAAAAGGTACTTTTTTTTTTTTTAATTGTTAGAGGGTATGTGTGCTCACCAGAGAGAGAGAGGAGGAAAACAACCCTCCAACGCCCCAGTGGGGTATAGTCACAACACAGTGCCTTCTCATTTCTTCATTCTGTTGGGATTTTGAGTGCAGTGTGTTCTCAAGTCAGTAGGTCCAGGACTCCAACTGCAACTGGCCATGTGGGATCTGGCTCCCTTACCCATGAGGCTAAGAGGCTGGCCCCTAAAGGTAAATATTAATACTTTTATTTTATAGATGAGGAAACAGGCTCAAAGAAAGTCAGTCACCTCCCTCAAGTCACATAGATGGCAAATGACAGTCTGGATTTTTTTTTTTAGAATTTTTAATTTAATTTTATTATTCATTCATTTATTTTAATTTGATCAGAGAGAGAGAGACAGAGAAGAAAAGTGAGAAAGCAAGCCACCAGGTCCAGAACTCAAACCATGTTGGCCACATGGGATTGTCCAGCACCTTAACCACCACACCATCTGCTGGTCCCTGACAGCCTGGGTTTAAAACCAGATACATTTGGCTCCAAAGCCAATATGCTTTTTTGCCTCACCAATAGCCTCTGAGCCTTCCCCGGGCCCTCGCTTGAATGGTTGTGCAGAAAGAGAAAGATAGGTGGACGAGAAAAGGGAAGATGAAACCCAGCCTTCCTAGTGATCTTGACTCAAGCTTTCTTTTGCCAAAGCTCCCTTACTGCCCCTTTAAGGCCTCCCCCCCACTAACCCTGACCCCTTGTTTCAGAAGCCTGGAATCCCCTCAGTTTGCAGCCCCTTGCCAACTACTGCTGCCCAGAAGGGTGGCACAGTGCCTGGACTTCAGGAATGAGTTATCAATTCACAGAACCAGAGGGACATCTGGAGGTCATCTCACCTAGCCTCTGCCCACGTCTGTGCCTGCCCATGAGAACAGGGGCAGACAGGGTCAGGATAGTGGGCAACAGAAGAGCAACGGACCCATCTCTTCCTTTACCTACCTTTTCTCCTTTCTCACTTTATGCAATTTATTTTGGGAGTTCCTCACTCAGATCTAATCTTCCAGGCATAATGAGAGCTGGCCAGAGTCAAAAGCTCTATGGCCTAGGCCTAGATTCTCCAAAAAATAAAATGAGATTTTTGGCTAAGTCTCTTCACCTCTCTGGACCTCTAATTCTTCATTTTAAAAATGGGGTAGATAATGGTGATAATAATAATACCCATCTCCCTGGGCTATTGGGGAATAACAGCCCAGAAAAGACACGTTTAACCCAGGGCCTAGCAAGGCCTAGCAAGGCGTTGTGGGATATTTTGTAACAGCCCCTCCAACCTCCAGCCGAGGCCCAGTCCTGGATAACACCACTCTGCTCACCTCAGCCAATCTTACGCGCTAGACTGAATTCCTCCTGGCAGGATCTTGTTCATTTTTTAATCACCGCTCTTTCTTTTTCCCAGTGTCTAGCCAGCCAGTGCTTGGGCACGTAAGGCTCAATATACAGTTGATAAATGAAGGAGTGCGGGTATGACCCCCAAGTCCCACCACCAACCCTTCTCCGCACGACCCTCTTCCCTGGAGTCCTGGCAGCGGCAGCCAAAGGAGGCGCTGCAGCTTTAAGATTTCTCCTGGGCGTCTTGGTTGCCAAGGCGCGGTTGCCAGGGGCCTGCGCCGAGCTGCGTCCGGCCTTCGCGCGCCGACTCCGGGTTGCCGCCGCCGCCGCCGCCGCCGCAGCAGCAGCCACCGACCG